GAGTTGGGGGTGTGCAGCCTGGAGAAGAGAAGGCTCCGGGGAGACCTTCCAGCACCTTCCAGTGCTGAAAGGGGGCTACAGGAGAGCTGGGGGGTTCTGGATCAGGGGGTGCAGGGACAGGATGAGGGGGAATGGTTTGAAGCTGCAAGAGGGGAGATTGAGATGAGATATGAGGAAGAAATGTTTTCCTGTGCGGGGGGTGAGGCAGTGGCCCAGGTTGCCCAGAGAAGCTGTGGATGCCCCATCCCTGGAGGGGTTCAAGGCCAGGCTGGATGAGGCTTTGGGCAACCTGGGCTAGTGGGAGGTGTCCCTGCCCATGGCAGGGGGTGGCACTGGATGGGCTTTAAGGTCCTTTCCAACCCAAACCATTCTATGTTTTACACACTTTCTCTTTCACAGATTTGACTTTAGTCTTCTGATTTTGGCCACTGTTGGATACCGTGCTAGGCTAGCTTGGTCTTTGATTTGATCCGCCAGCCATTCTGAGATCCTTATTACTGCTTGCTCTGAGATTTTGAGGGTGATTGATTGGTTTTGGGGTTGTTTTTGTTTCCTTTGGGCTTGCTACAGGAATGGCATCTGAAGTGTTCTCATTACTTTGTCCTGACTGCATCAAAGGGCATGGAACCTCCCTGGACTCCCTTGTTACCCAGTATGACAGGTACATCCTGACTAGTTTTCGTAGTGTTCTTTTATCTCATGCAGGCTTCTCTGGGACATTTTAGGAGACAGTAAAACCCTGGAAGGAACAGATGGGATGCTGCCATCTGAGTAGCTTTCTCCGTCCTTCTGGCAACGGTTCTGCTGTCCAGAGCAAGGCCAGGGCCATGTCCTGACTCTGGTGGTTCTGCTCAGTTTCATTCTTTCAGTTTATTGAACCTTCCAGTCTGAACAGCCCTTCCTTCTGTGTCTGCAAGGGGCTCTCCAGTGCATGGCTGCAATGCCAGCCTACCCTGCTCCTCCTATTTTTGTGATCCCACAGACTCTCCCTTCGCAATTTATTCCTGTTTGCCTCCGTACATGGCTCTCTGAGCCATTCTATCCTTCCAGCTCCCCAGAGGTTATGTTTTACTTTCTGCACTGTCAAAGTATTGTCCAGCAGAGCACTCAGGAGCACGTCACGGAGTTTGTGCTTTGTTCTGTTATCCCCTGTGGGTGGAATTGTACATGTAGTCTTTCTGTTTCAGAAATGCTTTTAAATCTGTATGTTGCTTTTTTTAGATGGGAGAATAGTGGTAGAGCTGGGGAAAAGCCAAGACCAAGACTGTGTTTCCAGGATAAAAAGGACTTGGCAGCAGTAGCAGTCCAAGAAATTCCTGTTTTCGGCTGCTTGCTTCCTTTTTCAGGGTAGAATGCAGAAGATTATTTTCAACCTGTTTTGCGTCACTAGTCTTGTTCACAGTGCAGCACCGTAATAATTCTATCTGCAAGTGATAGTTGAAATCTGTCTTCTAGGGAGCAGGAAAAGCAGCTGGAAAAGGGTAAGGCAGGATGACTTTCCTTATCTAACAAGGCCACTGAATCCGTTGTGTTGTGTCTTGATTAGATCTAAAATGTGGAGTGAAATCAAAGCTACGTGAATGTGGGGGTGGTTAAATATACTGTGTGATTGTCACTGGTCCTTAGGGTAAAACCTTAAGGCTCCTGAACACGTAGGAGCTATCCCTAAGTTAAAAAAAAAAAAAATCTGACACTTGCTAAACTGACATTAACACAGGGATGACACACTTCATTCATTAGAGACACGAATAGCGTCTTTCCGCTGCTGTCTCTGTTCTGTTCAAAACTGATAGCAAGAGCCTTCACAGTCTGGTAAATTATACATGCTTAGGTATTTTTTACTGGGAATGACAGAAGGTATGTCTCGGATACTAGTATGTTCCCCCAACTATCCTCTCAAACAGATTTGGGCCCCTGTTCAAGAGTGCAAGTACTAAATCTTCCAAACAGGGCAAGGTATATTTTCTGAAATGAAGAAACCCCTCAGTCTTAAAAAGATCCATCTGCAGAAGGACGTGTACGCCCAAGGAGATGACACTTTTTATTTCATGAAATAATAGAAAATATAGTCTTTTGCTAAACAACACTCATTACAAGCAATTTTTCTGGGTATGACGTACAAAAAATAGACTGAGAGCTGCTTCTGCTCCACTTCATCTCTTATAACATAAGAATAAGGCACTTCATTAAAGCAAGGAAAATACAAATTCAAAACCGAGTGAAAGAAAACAATTTCTGGATTGTGTAGCTGAGCTAGAGTCCTGTGTTGGAAACTTGTTTCATAGCAAGGGATATGGTATTTAGAGAGAAGATGTTTAGATAACTTTAAATGTTATCTTATAGTAGGACCATTAGAGTTAACAGAGATTGTTCATCGTGCTTTAGAATTTTATTTCAATGCTTTTATGAAGGTAGGATCAAAATCTGGCAAGAAACTTTGAGATCCAGGTTCCAGGTGTTTGTCCTTTTCTGCTGTTCTTTCCTGTTTCAGTAGCCACATATTGTCTGGTCAGAAAGGTACTCCCTTTGAAGGTATTGCAGTGGTTCCTGTCTTGCTGCAGCAGTCTCTGAGCTAAAAGACACTGCTGTCTGTTTGCCAGTCCTACCTGCACCCCACTGGCGCAGTCTCACGGGTATGTCGGGAGTTGAGAGAGCAGTAAGCAGAAGTTGAAAGTTGGCCCAGCGGCAGTTTGAACCATTGCAGCTTGATTTCTAGAGCGTGGCAGATTCTCTGTGTGCTCTGTCCATTTGCCTCACAATTTTTTCTTCTTGAAAAGCTGAACAGACTTGCTTAATCTCTCATTTAAAGTGTAGTCCTTGGTTCTTGTGTGTGCATCAGTTCTCTGGCTCTCTTTGGCTTACAGTCCCTCGCCGTGGTCCGGTCAGGATGGCTGGGAGCATCCCTGCAGCAGCGTGTGCAGCACACTCTGGCAGTGCCGGCCTGAGGCGTTATGGTCACCGCTCTGTTCTTATCAAACCCAACGTGATCCTCACCACCGGAGGCTTTGGGGAGGAGCACGGACAGCACTGCCGTATGAGAAGTTTTCACATGCTAATTAAGCACGCGGGCTACTGGAGAGCTGGCTGTGTGAAAAAGGAAAGTCCCGATCAGAGATGGGGTGAGTTCCCATACTGATGGCAAGCGTAAGGAAGACGTTTTTGTGGTAACAACAAAATAATGTCTAGTGGAAAAGTGATGTCACAGCACAGTTATGCTGCCAGTCAAAGAGATCTGAAGGTTCTGAATGCTGAGTGCTGGGTCCTGCACTCGTGTCGTAACAGCCCCATGCAACGCTACAGGCACGGGGAAGAGTGGCTGGAAAGCTGCCTGGAGGAAAAGGACCTGGGGGTGTGGGTTGACAGCCGGCTGAACGTGAGCCAGCAGCGTGCCCAGGTGGCCAACAAGGCCAATGGCATCCTGGCTTGTATCAGAAGTGGCGTGGCCAGCAGGACTAGGGGAGTGATGGTCACTGGTGAGGCCGCACCTTGAATCCTGAGGTCAGTTTTGGGCCCCTCACCACAAAAAGGACATTGAGGTGCTGGAGCAGGTCCAGAGAAGGGCAACGAAGCTGGCGAAGGGTCTGGAGCACAGGGCTGACGAGGAGCGGCTGAGGGAGCTGGGGGTGTTTAGTGTGGAGAAGAGGAGGCTGAGAGGAGACCTCATCACTCTCTACAGCTGCCTGAAAGGAGGGTGTAGGTGGATGTCAGTCCCTTTTCCCAAATAACAAGCGATAGGATGCAAGGAAACGGCCTCAAATTGCACCAGAGGAGTTTTAGATTGGGTATAAGGAAAAATGTTTTCACTGAAAGGGTTATCGAACGTTGGAACAGACTGCCCCAGGAGGTGGTGGAGTCACTGTCCCTGGCATGTAGACATGGTGCTTAGGGACGTGGTTTAGTGGTGGACTTGGCAGTATTCGGTTTATGGCTGGACTCGATGATCTTATGGGTCTTCCAGCCTCAGTGATTCTATGATTCTATAAATCCCATGGGAGAAAGATCGCTATGAATCGTGATGCTTTGTATCTCTGCAGGTGAGCGGTTGTACCATACTGTGTCATGTCTCTCGAACAGTCTGGCCCTGGTGGTAGGAGGACGAACATCCCCATCAAGAGCAGGCTTGGGAATGTTGCAGCTGAGGTTCCCAGAAAGCTGTGGTGCCTTGGACCCAGATGACGTTACAGTGGAGGGTGTGAGTCCGCCGCCTGCTGCTGGACCAGCTGGTTTG